TGTGCACGGATGCACATTTACCAGCCCCGCTTTGCTGATATTTCATCTCTGTCCGGGAGGGAGAGCAAGCAAGGAGGGCAAGGAAAACACAGTATTCTGCACTGTAAGTAGCTATTCCTGAAATGTTTTTATATAAGACAGTATATAGTTCAAAATGAAACATTTTAGCATATGCAAAGAGAGGAAAAAAGAAATACGCAGACACTCTGGATTACCTGCCTGCTGCACACCTCAGCTCACTGTTTCTACCAACTCTACTGCCTTTCCACGGAATAAACCATTTTTGCATTTTTTTTTTACCCATTTTCTAGACATCAAGTATTTAACAATGAAAGACAGCATTGAGATTTAGCTACTCTAGCTACCCTTAGATCAAGAATGCTGAGCAATTCAGACTGCCTGCTGTTGAACCTTGCTCCCGAAACCATCAATAAAGAATAAGAGATGCTCTATTCCTCCATCTCCTGGACCCATTAGCTTGGGGGTCGGTATCACTGGACATCAGCAACATTTGTGTCAAGGATTTACAACAAGGTAAAAAATCAGGTCACAGGGATCAGCCTTTCAAACTCGGTCTGGAATCTGCTGGATTGAGCTTTTTGCCAGGGTTTCTGACCAGTCAAGATGGCATTCAGCAGCTCTGGCTTTGAAAACAAAATCAAAACTTTTACAATGGATTGAGACTTCCCCAAGATGCCAACTTGGAAACTCATTTTTGCAGGCTGGGATGTCAAACTGAAGGCAATTGTCACTGCTCATGTAAAGAGACAGAGCAAACAGGTGGAGACTACTTAGCAGGATGTTGTGCAGTAGGTAAGGGCTGGAAATGGGAAGGAACAAGGCACATTTATTGTGCGATAATATGTAAAGGGGGAAAAAAACATCCTCTTGCTGCAGGCAACTGCAGTCAAATTAGTGGATGTTGCCAATTAGTCTGCTGCAATTTTGATTGTAATCTGCGACAGAAGTGAATAAACACTTCCGTCTCGTACCAGGCAAGCAGTGCATGGGACTAACTCATCCAAGCAACAAAAGGGCCATGTCTATATGGGCAGATGGGAGCAGAAACTGATCCATACAATTCCTGCTCAACTGATCTGGATCTTTTCACATTGCGCCATTGCTAAATTATACATACCTTTCCAACA